GTTTTAAACAAATAAATAGATAGCGGGTTAAGGTCTTGGTTAAACAAGTTGTGGAAGCCATGAGAAATGCTAGTATTCATATCATTCCTTCCTTTGAAGCTGGAAGCCCTAGAAAATTAGGCAATTTCATTTGATTTAAACAGTGTTACTTGAATATAAAAATGGCCATACAATGTACAGATTCAAGTCTGTTAGTATAGCATTGAGCAGGAAGGAATTGCAAGGAACTTAAATTGGGTTAGTTGGAAATTTTCTTATATGTGGTGTTTGCAATATATTTATTGGGTGGTTTTTGGTTTAAGTTGCTATTATTACATTTAATTGTTGATGTGGTTTTCTGAAAGAGAAAAGAAGCTAAGTTCTGCATTATAATTTGCTACATCAGCAGAACTCCAACAGAACCCCCTATGTTCATATTATCAACTTGTCACGTCATAAACTTATATTCTATCTTAATCTATTTAATACTAGGGCATTTTGTAATGTTGACTTGATCATGTTGCATGTCTTTTAACGCCATTTATTTTAATTTTATTCAAGTGGCCTACTAATGTTTTTTTTTCGAAGTAGCCTACTAGTGCCTTTTGGCCAACGTCTTTTTGTTAATTATGTTTGGGGTACAAAAATGCTTTATCAACAACTATAAGCATAGAGGGTTGAGTGTTTGGAGTGGTTCCCATTAGAAGTTTGTAAGTCTAATCAGTTGGAAAGACCTTTAGTAGAAAATTAGGTTAAGAATTTTTAGTGTGATAGGGATAAGGCTCTAGGGCCTAATGAATTTACCGTGGCCAATTTTGAAGATTGTTAGGGATTTGGTTAAGAAAGATTTGATGAAGGTTTTTGCAGAGTGTTTTGAGAATGAGATAGAGAATATTGGCACAAAATGCTTCATTTATTTGTTTGGTTCCTAATTCCTAGAGAGGATAATTTATTGGGATTGGGAATTTTAGATCAATTAGTATTGTTTATTTCTTTATAAAGTTTTGGTAATAGTGTTATCTATCCAAATATATTTTAGGGGAAACTATGCCATTTTCTCAGTGGGCATTTATGGAGGGATGTCTGATCTTAGCTGTGGTTTTGATTGCCAATGAGGTGGTAGAGGAATGAAGTAGAGGCAACAAGAGAGTGGGGTGCCATTTTTAAGGTTGATTTTGAAAACATGTGTGATCATGTGGAGTGGGACTATCTATCGCAAAAAAAAAAAAAAAAAAAAAAGAAAAAGAAAAAGAGAGAGGTTTTGACGACAGGTGGAGAAAGTGAATTTGTGGTTGTCTTTTCATAAGTCATTTGCTCGGTATAGTCAACGGAAAGGCAAGTGCAATGGTAGGATGCAATGCCCGAGCTTTATAAATCTAAAGGGCTTGGGACCCCAATTTCTCTCATCTTCCATCAAACCAGTTGGGCTGTGATCTGAGAAAAATCTAGGCAATCCCCATACTTTAAATCTAAACCACTCTGGCCATTCAGGGTTCACTAGAAATCTGTCTAACCTGCTCCAGTTCTGTGAATTACCCCTTGTATATTGTCTTCCCAACATTGGAATATCTATCATTTCAAGGTTGCTAATGAAATTACCAAACTCAGCCATTCCTCTATCCCATCTGAGACATTCTTTTCTTTCATCTATTGTTTTTGATTTCATTAAAATCACCTCCTAAACACCATGGTTTAGGGAAGGCACTCTTTAGGTTATTTAACACACCCCAAACCCTTCTTCTATTCAGATCTTCATTTGGGGCATATACATTTCCAATCACACATTCAACACATAAATGAGTAGTACCTGTAAGTAGTATGAAGTTTTTGGAGCAGCAACAATCTTTCAAGAGAAATACTTCTGGCTTCCAAATACATAGCAGCCCACCCGCACGTCCTCTAGCATCTACAGCCATAAACTTCATCAGGTAATTAGGCCATATAGACCTAACAAAGCCTTCAGTAGTGTTTGATCTTTTTGATTCTTGTAACAAAACCATATCAATTTTCTTCACTCTCAGTATCTCCTTGATTCTGTTTTTTTTCCACCCCTCCTAACCCTCTCACATGCCATGACATAATCTTTATAAAAGCCAACTTTTCACCTTCAACTCCCAAAGATGCTAAATTAAACACCTATCTTGTCCCCTTTTGCACTTAGTTTTTCAGCATCATCATTCTCCATCTGGATTATTTTTTCAATAATTTCCCCTTCCTTTCCTCTCATCTCCACCCCCCGAGCTTTCCCAACTTGGATTGTAGCCTGAGCTTCTTCCCGTAGTTTCCTCTGTTTGATTAAGCTGCTGCTGACTGATACTAAAGGTGAAACTGCAGCAGCTGATACACAAACTAATGCTCACCGTGGTCCCTTCTTTGCCTTCCTTCTAGTATTTCCTTCATGCTCGTCTTGATCATCATCACTGCAGCTTCTCTGTGATGTCGTCTCACAAACATAATCTTCCTGGGCTTCTGGAAGAGATTCAGTAATCACTCCATTGGGCTGATTAAGTTCCAACCCATAATTTGGATTGTCCCCAAATCCTATGGATCTAGACTTGATAATAACTAGCCCATTATGTGATCTTTCAAAATGGGCTTTGTCAAGAACCACCTCAAGATTTATGTTAGGCCTGTTTAAGTCATTTACACTTGAGCCTCTTAGGAGCCCATTTGAGCTACCCAACACTTCACTAATTCGTTTTTCACTCATCTCTGATCTTTGTAATGATGGGACACACATGCTTCTCTTGAGGCCTGGTCTCCTCTCAGCCGAATTTAGAGTTCCCACCTTTGCACCTGTTTCGCTCACTATTGAGGCAGATGCAGAGTTGCAATTATGCCCATCTACTGTCCCTTTCTTTCTATCTATGATCCTTTTACCGATTGCCATTTCACCATAATCCTCCACCTCAGCTTCCATGTCTATCTTCATTGTTGTTCCCATGGCAGTTTGCAGAGCTCTGGGCATCCCTACCCTTGTAGCTTTCTTCTGTTTTACTCTCCTCAACTACTCGAATGCTACTTTCGCTTTCCAAAAGTGCTATTTTATCTATTCGTTCCAGCTGAATCGTGCAAATTCTGATCTTACCACACTTCAGAGACTCCATTTTTGATGTTATCTCATCAATCTCTACAACTTCACCCCACAATTCTCCTATTTTTTGAAAGTTTGTAATATTCCAGAGGTTGGGAGGCATTCCACAACAATTTAGCCATACAGATCTTTCATTGTCCACTCTCATCCCTTTTTCCCATTCAAGAACTGAGTCACTCCAGTCTTTCATCCATTCACCAAGTTTATTCGCTCTGTTTTCATTGCTTCTATTAATTTGAACATTACATATGCAATTCTACCTCCTCCTTCTCTCACGTGTAAGTCCTTAAATCCTCTATTGAAGCTCCTTCTTGAACTCTGTAAAGTTGCAATGAGTGTTCAAGTTGACTATCACACTTTCATACAACCATTCATTTCCAAACTCTTCTGTCTTGATTCTGATGTCGTTTTCACTCTATCCTCCCTTTTAGGACATCAGCGTAAGAGCTCCTCCTTTGTTTGCCCTCAACCCTTGTTCTCACTGCAGCTTCAAATCTCTGTGCCATTCCTTTCTTAGGTCGGCCTTGGTCTTTTCCGAAATTAGCCCTTTTCACCTTCGGAACTTTGTTATCACACCATATTCGCTCCTTTTTTGAATAGTTATCCCCGCTGCAACAGGGCAGTCATATCTAACAAAGCTAAATCTAGACTTTGTGGCTTTCCTTCTCTTATCTGGGATGTAAACATCCTTCACCAATCCAAAGTTTGAAAACATAACATACAGTTCTTTAGGATTCATTGATTCCGGAATATCGTCAACAAAGATTGCATGCATGTTTGATGATGGCCCATACCTTCCTATTCTTCATCTGAACACAAGCTTCCATCCTCTTTGCCCCTCCATTTCTTTTCTCTTTGTGCCCTAGGTATCCCTTTGAGTATTTGCCTCTTTAAATATTTAGGCACTGTTTGGTAGTGCTCTAGAATCCTAATTCCATCCCTTGGTTTGAGTGTAGTGTTTGGTGAGAGCTTTCAAAAATTGATTCCCCACCCACTGTTAAAAACACGTCTTCCCGGTCATCCTCGGACGTCCAGCCAGTTGACCGGAACAATATTCGCGTTTTTTTTTTGACACCTGTTATTTTTATATTTTAAATAAAAAATATTTTTGGAATTTTTTTTAATTTTTTATGAGTTTTGAATAGAATTTTGAGTTGTGTGTTTGGTTATGAGTTGTAAGTTTTTGAATCAAATATTATATGTCATATCAAAAATTTCAAATTCAATTCAAAATTCTTTTCAAAACTCATAACCAAACAAATTTTCTACACTCAAATTATAATTTCAAAACTCACAAATTCAAAATACAACTCTATTCTCAAATCACAATTCTAAAACTCTACCAAAAGCTACCTTAGTTTTACTTGTAGGAGGTAATCCTTGGTGATGATTTTTAGGATCCAATCATTGTCGAGATTGGAGGGATAAATTGGCTTTGATTTTTAAGGGAGGCAAGCACACTGGGTGAAATCAGTCTAATCCTATTCATGTCTTATCCTTGTTTAAGATACCGATTCGAGTGCCTGATAGAAATGAAATATTGATAAGGGATGTTTGTGGAAAGGTTGTGATGAGGGGAAATATGTGCTCTTAATCATATAATGCCATAAAGCATATGGCTTAAGGGAATCTTCACAACCATCATTTACTTAATAGTTTCTTAGCCAAAATATTCCCAATGTCAATCACTAAGAAGCATTGTCATTTTTGTGAAGGTATTTTATTTGATATGAACACACCTCAATACATGTTGGACACTCATCGTGCCATTTGTTTGTTGTTTTGTTTTTTTTAAGAATCAAACACGATTTGAATTCTTTGGAAGATGCACAGATTTATTGCATAGGTAGACATAACACATGCTTTCAATTCTTGATACATTGAACTCATCCAATGTTCAAATAGAATAGCTATCTTTGTTATTGCCTTTTGTTTTTCATTCACTCTTTTCAGATTTGATATGGATCAATTGTGGAATTCATTGGCCTTGTTTAGGATCGAGAAGCTATTTAAGTCATTGTTGGTGAATGGTGATTGATGTTACTTTCAAGCCTATACAACCACCATCGCTGCCGCCACAATCACCACTACCACTGTCGTTTCCACCACTACCCAACCGCCATTGCCCAACCACCATCATCGCAACTACCCCACCACCACTAGTAAATGTGTTTCTTTAGAAAGAAAATAATTTTTTAGGTTGATTTTCTTGTTGCTCTACATATTATTCATGTGGTGAATGGAATTTGACTATGAAGCATAGACATGTGACACAATACGACACGACAACATGGACATGTTGACATGAAAAATTTCTTCAAAAAATGTTGGATAAGCATAAGACACATAGGGAATACATGTTAAATGTGTAGTTTTATATATTTATTATGTCATAGATATGATATTTCATCTAAAGATGTTAAAATTGCAATATAACACTAATTGGAAACAATGATTAGGAGTTAGTATGTAAATCTACATTATTTTGTCATCATTGGACTTGAAGTTATTTTCTTTAAACTTTTAGTGTGCTTCATGTGTCTAAACAATAGGCACGTGGGTTCCCCGAGTGATTGAAACCTAGGAAGCACGGATACGGATACGGGATACGGATACGATACGATACAGATACGGCGATACGACAAAATTTGAAAAACTAGGATACTAAAAAATATTATTTTAACAATTTTTAGTAATGCAGTATGCATAAAAATGAAACCTAAAGCACAAGATAACTTGATAAAGAAGAAAAATTCCTATAAAACTAAGAGTCTTCAAGGTCAATAGCTTCAACTTGTTCCCCTTCATCAGTGAATATCACAGACCTTAGCTAAAGCCAAAAAACCATTCTTAAATAAAAATTTCAGCAAATATACTTTTTTAAGTCATCAATGATAGCCTAGGAAGCATGGATATGGATATGGTGATATGGGGATGTGGATATGGCGATATGTCAAAATTTGAAAAAGTATGATACAGGTACAGCGGGGATACATTCGTAAAAAAAAGAAAATTATAATTTTAATAATGTAATATGCATGAAAATAAAACTTAAAGTAAATTAATAAATAAAAAGAGGGATTCCTATTAACCTAAAAGTGCTCAAACATTCATAAAACATCCAAAACTAAAAGCAAAAGCAAAGCAAATGCAAATTAAATATCATCCTTACATGCCAACACCAAAAAAAGAATGAGAGCAGAGAGAAGAAACGTGAGAGAGTGAGAAAGCGAGAGAGAAGTGAGAGAGACAACAAGGATACATCAATTTGACAAATTCTATTACTTTAACTCTCACTATATTCCTCTTATCAAAGAACTAAACAAAATATTATAAGTAATATGTAACTTCGAGTATTCGATACTTCAAAATTAAGTATCCAATACTTCAAAATTAATAAAAAATTAATTAAGAAGTATCCGATATTTTTAAGAAGTATCCGATACGTATCCGCCAGTATCCGAGGAGTATCGGTATTTAATAAGTATCCGATACGGATACGTCACCCTTTTTGAAGTATCCGTGCTTCATAGATTGAAACTTGTTTGAAACTGGGGGAAAAAAAAAAAGTTAAAAAGAAATAATAGGACCAGTTGGGCGTGTGTCCAACACGTGAGAAGTGTTTGATGAGGGTTAGTGTCCAACACAGTTATAATGTTTTCTTAGAATTGTTTGTGTTTCTTAGTGTTTTTTTAAAATATATTTTTTTGAAAATTTGAAATATTTGTGATTTTTTGTGCCAATCAAACATTGGAACATGTTTTTTTGGCTCATTTTGAGGTTCCCAATCAAACACTGGAGGACGAGTAATTTTGTCGAGAAATATTCCAAGAAATTGTTTTACATTGAAACAAAAGACAATTGAATTTTGTCCTTAATTATGTATAGTGTACAAATAAAGCTTGGGTACTTCAAAAATATTGTTGTACGAGTACCAAGTACTTATCCAGTATGGGTAAGCGTACCGGGTACTTTTGTGGGTACTTTGGGGCAGAAATGTAATTTTTTTTTTAAAAATGGGATACTAGAATAATTGTATTGTGTTTATTTTTAAAAACTTTAAACATGGAGGAGATTTTTACAATTATAAAAAATACAAAAATTATTTGAAATTCTTTTTGACCATTACAAAAATACTTTAATTATTTTTTACATTTGATTTTTAATTATTACATGTCATGTACTAGTGCGAATTATAAAATTATATATATATAGGATGGATGGATTGGACCGTACCCATACCCTACTTTTTTTTTGATTTTTCCGTATTGACATATCTGCTTGTGCTTCCTAGGTGCCATTCTAGTGGTTCTCTATGTGTTTTATTGCTAACTCTTGTAAGTAAAACTTTTACCAATGCTCTGTTACTTCTGCATTCTTTACCTTGCTTGATAGTTACCTGCTGTTAGTACTGTATTTGATGGAAGTGCAAGCAATAGCAATAATGTATATATTTTTTATATGATGAAAATTATTCGTGTAAAAGGAAATCAAGGTGTGTAGTCATGGCTTTTCTTTCATTCTTTTTCTTGTTTTTTCCCCTTCATTGTTTTAATCTAAGGTTTCGAGAGAAGAAATATGTAGTTAGGATCCTTGATAAGCAACAAAACCGTGTGTGCTTATGAGTTGGACATCTTAGCCTTATTTATGAAGGATAGAATGGCGGTTTCTAGATTTTTCCCGCTAGTTATTTTTGAAATGCCAGGTGACTGACTTTTGACCGGCATCATTAAGAATTAAGATGGAGCTAAATTGGGTGTAGTTTGGCTGTTGAAACCATTTTCTTTTATATCCCCTAACCTTCTCTCACCTTCGATTGGGTAAGTATCTTTTAATAGACTTCCCTGTCAAACCCCTTCCAGTTTTGGATTTTTTGACAACATCTTTTTATGTATTTCATGCATATAAAGCAATAATGCTCATGATTCCTGACCTTGTTTTTCATGCTTCTAAACCTTATAGTACTGTGAGGGATGATGGTTTCTATCTGATTTGTGATCTATTTGAAAATGAGTTTGGGTTTATGTTCATCCTCCGAACCATATGGCCATGTATACTTTTTAAGCAACTCTTGCCTGATACTAGGAAACAGTGCTTTAGTCTAAGCTAAAACAGTCTCTGGCTATGTTTATATAGCCAAAATGCGAGTTGCAGGCTTGCCCGCTTGGAGCTGGGGGTTCCACATGAGCTGCTACTAATAATCGAAAAGGTTCATAGCAAGTTCAGTCTATGGTGACAGAACGTTTCTTGCTATTTAAAAAAGGAACAATTAACTACCAAAACTCTTATGTATTTTAATTTTTATGCTCTGACCTTTTTACCAATTTAGACCCTTTGAATAATCATGATGGTTATGGTGAAAAGTGAGTTAGGCTTGGGATGACTTCAAATGTTATCGTTGCTATACATGTTTTTGAAGCTCAGTGGTTAATGGGACTCTTGGTGGTTGGGAACTGCTTTTACTTTTTTTTTTATTCTTGCTTCTTTTTTCTTCAAGGAGGTACCTTTCATCGTTCATTCCTATGTACTCCCTTTTTTCTCTCTAAGCAAACAAAAGGCAAAAAGTTCTTATAAATTTTGTTACTTTCTACCATCTGGTTCATGTGACCTCATTATCATTAATGTATATTAAATATTTCGATATAGTTGTATTGTATTACAACCAATGTTTTGAGTAGATGACACAACATTCTGTTCCCTTCTGCACCTGTGTATGTGTGTGTGTTCGTTGTGTCACTTGGATTTGGTAATCTTGTATGGAGCTTGGATAGCTTTACTGATTGCCACTTCAGTAAACAAAAATCCTAATATAGACACAGGCAGATGGAAAGGTTTCCCCATTATAAAAAAAATGTGATTAGCATCTTTCTTTCTTCCCCCCCACCCCCCAACTATGATGTTGATTGCTTAATTTTGATGTGGCATGTGGCTCAGTTATTTTCTTTCTTTCCTGCTAATAAGGGTTGAATTTCTATACCTGTATGGAGCTGTTATCCTTTTCTCTCAATGGTCTATTGAGCTTGTTGGGATTGATTTGGGAATTCAACCCAATTGATGATTCTGTTGGAAATTTTGCATTAATTATATTGCCAAGTCTTATGTTGGTGCAGGGACCTAGAAGTCCACATGGACATTTTGGTTATGAAGAATTTGGCATTAGGTGTAACCGGACTAAGAATTTGTTCCCTGTCACAAATCATTTCCCACCATTAGTTTTATTTTATTTATTTATTTTTGCACTAGGTAGGCTGTTAACAGGTAGTAAGTTAGGTTAGCATAACCGGCCTTTTGACGCTTCTCTGTAAGCTTGAACCCCAAACCCTTCCTTTAGAAATCTAGAGTTACAACCACTTGAGCTATGCACAAGTTCTTTCCCAAGATTAGAATAATAAGATCTTAATGAGGGTTACATGCACAAACTTACTAGAACATAGTCATCTTTGACTAGCATGCCAAAAGTAAACTAAACACTGGCATTGAGAAACAAGGAAAATGAGACGAAGAATGGCATATATTACACAGTTTTCATTCTTGTTAATGTTCCCTATTAAAAAAAAATAATAATAATAATAATTTGAAAACAGATCGAAAAGACTAGTAAAGAGAAACTGTTATTGAACGTTATTCATAAAAATTTACAACTAGTTACACATATTTCATGGTTGTTTATCAAAGCCACTAACAATACTAAACGCATTTCATGAGTCTTGTTTTTAGTATAGTTGTTCGACCCCAATGAGTAGACATGAAGGGAGATTAGTTGCTTCTTGATATATATATTTGCTGAGAATTTTGGATCATTGAAACAAACAGCTACCTTGTTTTACATTGTGTGAATGAAAAATGCACAAAAAAGTAAAAAATTATCACTTTTTTTAAGATTGTGAATTAGTTGATGATTGTGATACGAATAGAAAAATTATACAAAAGAAAAGAAAATTGAAGTTAGATTGTAAATCAGTAGGGAGGAAGAGGGGAAAATAATTGCAGAAAATCTACTTCTATGTTTTTATAATTATTTTTACTTAATTAATACATGTGGCGTGACAAAATATTAATTTTACCATTTTCAAGTAAAAGGACCCATTGAAATTGGTTTTATTTATTTATTTTTTTAAATATCATTATTACATCATTTTAATCATGAATTTGTGTGAAAATTTTCTAAGGATGGACTCTTTTTCCCCTTTGTGGAATAGAGAGAAAGATATGTTTATACCATGACTTTAAGAGGTGCAGCATACATGGCAATGGTAGAAGTTGCATATAGAACTCTAACAAAAGTGCAGCGGGCACTCCCATGGAATACTAGACGAGTCAATGCTATTACTGTCCCCAACATTCTTACTAGTATTCCCAACAAGCTCATTGATTTAACCTACCAAAAAACCAAAAACATTCCCAGTTGATCTTCTATTCAAACATGTGCACAAGCACGGTAAGAGAGTGGTAGTACCTAAAAAAGGAGGGGAGCATAGAAGAGAGAGAGACATATAGGAGTTGAGAGGCAACACCAACACTATTTACAGTGATAATTAGAATACCATCGTCTGGATCCAAAATCTCATACAAGGTCCATAAACTTGTGCTCAATGGTGTCCTTATATATAGCAGTCTCTCATAATTCTCCACTGATTTTTTCTTCACTATTTTCCAAAATGTCCCCTTAATTAAAATTAACCCCCCCCCCCCCCCCCTCCAAAATTAATTTTTCTATATAAAGTATACTAGGCCTTTAAAAGTTGAGATTGATTTGGGATCATTAGTAAGAATGTAATAAGGTCTAATTATTTTGACAATGGTAATGGTAATGTATCACTCATAATAAGTGGTTGGGCTTAAGTGTCTTACTACTCGACACTTTTGCTCATCATGAATGAGTCTAGCTACTTTCTAGACTCGGGGGTTGTTTGGGATGATCTAAATAAGTGTACTTTTTGTCTTTTTACGAAAAGATGTGCAGAAAAGTAGAGAGATGATGTGATGGAAAAAAGATAAAAAGAGGGATTATTCTGCAATTGCCAAACTTGGCCTCATTAGTAGATAGTCTAATTATTTTGTGTGTCTTGTGGAGAGTGGCATATGTAGGCCATGTAACATGGGTCACATAATGCTTGGAGAACTCAAAAATTTTCCCTCAAGTACGTATTTCGATCTGACACTAGGCATTGCTAGGATAATTAATTACTTGCCCTTGTTTTTTTTTTGATAAGAATTACTTGCCCTTGTTAACATTGAAGTTTTTTGTTTTTTTTCTTCTCTCTTTCTCCCTTCTTGAACAAGGAAATAAAACCTTAATACACATATCAAAGTTCATGACAAAAGATAAAACTCAGAATAGATGCAATATTAAATCTTCTGTTGTCATAGTTGAGCTATTCCCATCTTTCAAATTTCAATAGAAGAAAAATATCACTTTCTTTAAAGTTAAACACTAACAGTGGAGCAGCAAAAGTTAGTATAGAAAATATGTTTCTTGCAACAAATGGATATACATATATATTAAACATTGGAGAGACAAAATGGAGTTGTATTTTTCACTAGACAATATAATTAAAAAAAAAAATCTTTCCAAAAATTTCAACAATGAAGTCTGCTCAAACCATGGATGATGATTAATAAAGTTGGTGATAGAAGATAAAAAAATTTAAGTTTGTGAAGAAATGAAAGGGTTGGTTGGTAGGTGCTGTGGTGTGATGAATGACCAAAGTTGGTGATGCTTGTTTATGTGCTTCTATAGAAATACTCAATGTTGGATGCTTTCCAACTTATTGGGGATTTTTTTTTTTTTTTTTTTGGGTATCTCTACTTGTTACCATATTAATGAAGAAGTGGCTATATAAGGTTCTTTTGTTTCACCTCTACATGGCTTTCCATTTGTTTTAGTAATTTTTGTTTAATTTTTTGCTATTGAGGAATCTCCTCTCAAAGTCATTTTGAACTTATCTCCAAAGAGTATATCTCAAATACACACAATCATATGCTAATCGTGTATAATAGACAAATTTAGGTGCATCATTATAAATAATATTCCAAAACATCGTAGTTTGCAATTCTTCCCAAAAATCTTTGACAATTTGTTACAATAGTACAAAAAGAGGAAATAATATGTATTGTCTTCAATTAATTAGTTCTACACAATAGAAGGCTTGTATATATAGGTTAAGAAAAATATCTTATAAGAAACCTAACTATAAGAAAGAGTATCCTATAAGAAATCTAACTATGGCAATACAAATATATTTAAGAAATTAATATCTAATATATTTAGGAATATATACTATATATAAATTAACATCCCCCTTCAAATTCAAAGAGGATGAACATCTTGAGTTTGGAGAGAAAAACTAAAATATGAAATAAAACTAAATAAAATAAAAGACAAATAGATTGCAAAGTTCGAACGGGAGCACAAGGACGCTTGAGATAGATCAGAGGCCGAAACTAATTTCAGGAGACAGTTTATGGTCGTGTCGGACCGTTGGAAGAACTGACCGAATCTAATGTCGGGACAGTTTAAGGTCATGCCGGACTGTTGTAGGAACTGGCCGGAATCAATGTTGAAATAGTTTACGGGTCATGTTGGACCGTTGTAGAGACTGAATGTTGAACCAGCAAGCGTGGCACACACATAACTTATGACATGGTGCTGAACAATGATGGCAATAGATGACTTTGTGCGCTATGAGGTGACTTAGGTGGTGCGACAAGGGGTAGCTTGGAGGGTGCACCACAAGGGGTGGCTTAGGTAATGCACCAATTGAAAGATCGACTCAACAATGGCAATAGATCGGAGTTTCCGTGAGAGTGTTTATCACGCAGAAGAATATAATCCGGAAGAGACAAAAATAAAGAGAAATTCAAGTGAAGTGCTAGATTGATCTTGGCCTGGTATTTATAGATAATATGGTGACATGACAAAGAAGTCACACCCTTAGGACTCTAATCCAAGAGACATAATGCTTCACAAAGCATTGTGCCTTTTCATTCAAATTTCAAACCATTTTCCAGATTCTTCTTTCCTGCGGGAAGGTTTGGTGATCACTTCATATATTGGCTTTGATTTGGTGTGAGGAGATCCATCATATTATGGTGTGAACATCTCTTATACCTTCATCTTCTACTTGAGCACACTATAATATTGGTGATAAAACCTGAGTTGGGCATGTTTACCTTGGTACCAACATTTTGCCTCATGCCAACTTTCATCTATGAAATTACCTCATCGACATCCGATTGTGACTTGGCCATACGTGCGCACGTTTTTGCCACCAATCTAACCGCACTCGTACGAATGTGTTCTCCCATTAACAACATATTCTAGATGACTTCAATTCACTATATTTCAAACGAACAACATCAATTTTCAGTGTTGGGTTTATGGTCCATATCCAATC